AAATAGAAGCACAATTGTCAGACCTGTTTCCACTTTAAATTATAATAAATACTCCCATAAGTAGAACAACAAGCAGAGATGAGTTTATATTTTTTAAACTTTCATCCCTCAATTATAAGATTAACAACACTTGTTCTTACTTTTAATGGCTGTTTCTTAAATTAGGTGAGAAATTAAAAAAATACAACTGCACTTTTGTTTATAGACAGTTTGCTACAATGTAGTTTCAGGTTTTCAATAAATTGTTTATGCTAGTAAACATTCCCTTGCTATACATTAAATTCAACTATGTTACTATTGGAATACTTTGTAAATAAAAAAAGATACCTTGCTTAGTTGAAAGCTTTTTCCAAAAAAAAAAAAAAAAAAAAAAAAAAAGAGAGAGAGAGAGAGACAGACAGACAGACAGACAGACAGACAGACACTGAATCAATCCTTACATAAGCAGCAAATCCTAAGCTAGACAAGCTTTGCAAAAAGAGTAATAAAGAGGTGGTATTTTAAATACAACCAGTTGGATCTACACCAGTCACATTACATTAGGTGAATAACACTTCCATTTTTCTCTGCTTCAGTGTTATGTGACAATATAAATGAAAAACGATTGAAGAAATGATTGAAGACAGACATTATAGATCGAGTGCTTACCTGACGTGGATTTTGCTGACCAAATTTAACCTGGTGAGTCACAGCCTTGATAAATTTCTGTTGTTTTGCACCTTTTTTATTCTTCAGGCCAAATGTTTTGTCCTAAATCAAGAGATGAATGGAACGAAATTAATTATGAAACTGTTCAACAATTGGAACAAGTTTAAGTTGTGACCATAAAAGACTTAACGTTCCACTCAGGTTTTCAGTTAAACACAGACCATTTCCTCTAGCAAAATAAGCAATCCAAGAAACAGGACGGACAACACTCAGACATGCTGTGAGAAGGAAGGAAATCTCTCACAACATCTCCAAGGTTTGCTTTTCAAAAGAACTGAGTAAATACTGCTTTTGTGTGAGCTATTAGTTTTATCCCCAGATCTCCTCATGTTCAACAAGTATAAACCCATGCACTAGCACATGCTGGGGGCTGACCTGCTGGAGAATAGCTTTGCACAGAAGGACCTGGGGGTCCTGGTGGACAAGAATTTGAACATTAGCCAGCAAAGCATCCTCGTGGCAAAGGCAGCTAACAGTATGCTGGGCTGCATTAGGTGCCAGCAGGTCAAGGGACGCAATTTTTCCCCGCTATCCAAGTACTAGTGAGGCCACATCTGGAATGCTGCATCCAGTTATGGTCTCCCCAGTACAAGACAGACATGGACTAACTGAAGCGAGTCTAGCAAAGGGCCACAAAGATGATTAAGGGACTGGAGCATCTCTCATATGAGCAGAGGCTGAGAGAGCTGGGACTGTTTAGCCTGGAGAAGAGAAGGCTGGGGGGAGGGGGGGAATCTTTTCAATGTTTGTAAAGATCTGATGAGAGACTGTAAAGAAGATGGAGTCAGACTCCTCTCAGGGGAGCCCAGAGACAAGATGAGAACAACGAGCACAAACTGAAACACAGGAAATCCATCTGAACGTAAGAAAACACTTTTTCCCATTGTGAGAGTGCAGGTTACTGAGAAAAGTTATGGAGTCTCCATCTCTGGAGATATTTATAACCCAACTGGACACAGTCCTGGGCAACCTGCTCTACCTGACCCTGCTGGAGCAGGAGAGTTGGACCAGACCATCTCCTGTGGTCCTTTCCAATCTCAACTATTGTGCGATTCAAATATTAGTGTGAGTGTGTATGCATATATGTATACACACAAACACACACACACACACACACAGTGTTTTCAGGTCCCTCAAGACAAAGGGACAGGATATTTTTGGTCACTACCCAAGTATTTAAATCATTACTAGATCATTGCATCTGAGGAAATGTGTGAGAAATAACATGAAGATGCAATGGCCATAAATATTGCTCTTTCCCCTATCTGCTTGAAATCACATACTACTTTTTATCTTAAAGTATTCATATATAAACGTACAGATGAATATTGCCACATGCAACATATTACTTTTTATTTAAGTATTTTATAAATATTTTGCTTTGCAAGAGTACTTATTTGAGGAAAAACATCTTTCCGCTATGTCAAACCCAGAGGTGTTTGTACTTCCTAAACTCCGCTTCAAGTTTGCACTTACGTTATCTGAACCAATTCTCCCTGTACATCTCCAATAAGAGACTAATTTCTCTACCAAACTTATTGAAATTGCATAAAAAGAAAAGATAGCTCCTTTTCATGTGAGTATCTGGAGCAGAAATAATATTTTGCAACTGAAATACCTACATTTAAAACCGATCCATGCCTCTGATTTGATTTCAACAATTTTTTCCCCCTTTCAGGAGCTATTAACAGATGTTAACCAGGTGATAATACCTCAGTTCAAACACACTTTCAGAAAACCTGTCAAAAACCATATTATAAAGTAAACTCTTAATCTTTGAAAAAGCAGTCCTAGAGATCCTGCTCAGAATTACCCCATTTTTGTTTCTTTTTTTATTACCTATCAATAACAGCAGCAGCTAGTCTTGTCTTTACACTATTTGAAAAATCTGTAACTTTTCCAAATAGCTAGTTATGAAAGAAAAAGAAATGATTCAAATATTTGTTTTCTATGGTAAATGTCTCACAGAATATTTAATCTCTTAATTTATTTGGATCATGTAGTAAGATTTTTTTGGTCAATAATTAATGCAAGATTTTCCCCTTTCAGCTGCAAAATAATTTTTTGCAAGAACATCACAAACACTGAAGCCAACACTAAAAGACAGAGAAAAGACAGCCTGTCCAACCTGAAGTTTCCAAGTGAAAGAACAAATGAACAATATCTCTCAGTGCTAGATTTAAAGGAACACTTCCTTTATACACGTCCTCTATCCAATCAACTTCTATCTTTCTTGCCAATAGATGTGGGCAAACATTAATTTTCTAGAACTGCTCTTCCCTGATAGTCTCCATGTAGTTTGTCTGTTTACTGGAAGATCTGCATGACTAAGGTATCCCAATAACACATATATAACCCAAATAAATACGTGAAGGTATCTAATATTTTTATTGTTTTTAATCTGCTTTTACCATGGACTTGAGCATCAGAACATAAGACACCACTGATTAATCTTCAAGTTATTTGTATTAAACTTTCACAAGATGTTGACTTGACCATAAAGGCCAGATTGCATCCAAAAAAACACACCTGTTTTAAGCCAAGGAGGGAGCAGAAACCCACTTCTCCAAAAGCTGAAATCCAAAAACATACTGACACTTGCACTCAGAATAGAGAGGAGGAGGGAGGAGGCAGAAAGAGAGAACCACTCTCATCAGATCACCTTCACTCCAAAGACAGCTCTGGCCACAAAGTCCTCAGGCTGAAAACTAAATCCTGGGAGAGCAGCAGCCACCAGCACAACTTAAAGGGCCACAGACAGTCAATGATTTGACAGATCCGGGCAGCGCTGTGGCCCAGAAGGGCACCAACGTCCCCTGGAAAGGTACTCCCGGGCTTAGCTTACAGCACCTGGCCAGGGGCGCGGGCCCACGTCCCTCCGCCCACGCCAAGCCTGCGGCTTTCGCAGCACGTCCTGGGCTCCGCTTCAGCCAGGGCGCCGCTCGCCAGCCCAGG